TTCTTTGTCCTATCCTATTTGTCGTCTAGGGATAGTAGAATTTCCCAGATGTCAGGGTTGACAAGTGTTGAATCATTCCTATTACATGTGTTGATTTGCAGTTGATTCGATAAACAAAGCTTTTGTGATCAATCTCTCCCTCCACCCTGTGACATTAGATTTTAAAACTGTCATCTTATCCCATCCCATCCTATTGTATGGTTGTGTTTAATTGCATGTAGTGAGTGTTATAACTGCAGAACTATGCTCTAGATTTTTATCATATTTGGGTCAACTAATCTAAATTTTGAAGATCAGATGGCCGGGTCGGAAAGAATCACCAATAAGAAACTATGGGAACAAACAAAACAAGAACCAATCGCCAGCCAACAAATATGCAGGAGAAAGTGGAGATGGATTGGACACTCACGGCTGAGGAGGCCGCTGGGTGACATCGCGCGCGTCAGGCCATTGCTTGAGTGGAACTAGGCCGAAAGGGAAGTGGCGAGTGGGACGTCAGTGCTAGGGTGACATGAAGGAGATCGTGTGAAGAGGAGTTTAAAGAGTATGGACTAACATGGATGCAGGTGAAAAGTACAGCAGAAGGAAGACAGAACTGGCAAGTGGAGACGTGCAGTTGAAGCCCTATGTTCCACTAGGAACCCAAGGGAGCAATAATAATAATAATCTAAATTTTGCTGATAGGATTTTATGCTCGGCTAGTCTGACTGACTGCACCTGTTCTACTAGTTTGACCTATGTATTTGACCTGACACACAATCATTCCAGCAGGGTCGTTTTAGATAAAATAAACTGTTTTGTTTTAAAGCTGGCATAGAATTGATCCTTTAACCGACAAAACTTGTTTCTAATTGAGTTTGTGGGCAGTTTGAGTGACATTTTTATTCCTACCTGAATTGTAAAGAATTCTCCGTATGGTAGTTTCCGAGGTTCCTTGTTTGTAAAGAAGTACTACTGATGATTTAGATTCCTCATTGTTGGTGTTGTCTTGCGCATTTTTGACATGCATGTCGTCATTATTATTATCATTATTATCACTATTACTACTATCATTATTCATTTTATTTTTACCTTTCCCTACATATTTCCTGACTAATTTATCAGGATAATTATTAAGTTTCGAAGCTTCTCTTATATGCCTCATTTCCTGCCTTAGATTTTTCTTGGTACTACTTAATTTTTGTGCTCTGTCACTTAAACATTTCATCAATCCTATTTTCACTGAAATAGGATGGGATGATCGGAAGTCAAATATCTGTTTGAATGTGTGGGTTTCCTGTAAGACAATGGTTTTAACTTCCCATCTTCTTTCTTTTTCACGTTGCAATCTAACAGTGGAAGGTTTCCTTCGTGACTTTCCAATTCATTAGTGAACTGAATCGCCTCCACCTTTGAGTTAACGTGTTCGAATAAGATAAGAATTCTAGAGAATAGTTCAGCGATAGTACACATTACATACAATTACACACAACCATACAATAGGATGATGGAATAAGACAGCAGTTTTAAAATCTAATGTAACATGGTGGAGGGTGAGATTGATAACAGAAGCTGTGTTTATCGAATCAACTGGAAAACGTGCCTCCAGTAGGAATAATTCAATACATATCCCAGATATCTGGAAAATTCTACTACCCTTACGATGACAAATAGGAGAGGACAAAGAAAACTATATAAATCAGGTGTCAAAGTCGTATTACAACAGAAGACAAGGGCCAGGCAACAGATCGTTTTATTATGAAAATCAACATGTATTTATACATATTTCACATACATTATTATAGCTTATGCAAGTAGACAAGCGCAGTTATCTGATTGGTTGTTTATCAGAAGTTAGGCAGACAAACGCAGGCTTCTGATTGGTTGTTTCGGGATTCCTCGACAAATAGAGTTCTCTATCTGCGAATCATATTTTGCCACGTTAACTTTGCTGTGATTGGTTGTTAAATCAGCCTTGTACATATTTTCTCACGGCTGCTACACAGTAATTATAATTGATATGATTATGAACAATAATCTTGTATTGTGTTCGAAACATCTTCATCCAGTAAATAATACTGTTTCAGTCACTGTGTGATACATCAATAAGCAAACTAATATGGGAAAACTACAATTTATCTCAACAGCACCGTCAGGCAGCAACCATCTTGACAATGTAGGTCCAACTGTTAAAGGTACCTCAGAATCGAGGAGGAGGAGGAAGAGGAAAATATTCCAAACGAACGAAGGGGAATCGATCAAATGCTCTGTCCACAAGAGTCACGTACACACATACACCAACGCTTACCTTCTCACAGACAGTCGGTCCCCGTTGTCAGGATCACTTGCATTCACTCAAACAAACTCATAATGTTAAACAACACATTGTTAGTCTAAACACAACCACAAAGAGAAGTGTTTTAATTAAAGATTAAACAAGGCAATACAAAGGCAATAAATAATAAAGGTGGAAATCAACATGTGATATATTAATATCAAATTAATCATACATAGTCTAGGTGCAGGAAAAATGTGTAATAATTACAGAGTCAGTTGAAACTTTTAAATTAGCATTTAAAGTTCTTTGGATAGATTTTCTTAACATGTTTGTAATTATTATTTCACTAGATGAGTCACCCTTGAATTGCAGTCGTTTACATAAAGGCTTCTTATTTACAGATGGAGAATAGTTCCTGTACGCTTTCTTCGTTATGTGTTTCTCGATAAATTTTGTTACGATAGCTATTTTCAATCAATCAAGATATCATATACAATCCTTAGTTCATCTGCAATTACCTCTTGTGAGCATATAATTCCAACCGTCCAACTGACAGTCTTTACTGAATTTCTTTTGCACTGGAGAGGAAGGAGGCTGTGAATAATGTGTTTTATTCTCCTGTACATATCCTTTTCCTATGCACATTTCTCTTTATACTAACCACTATCTGAATTTCGTGTAAGAAGGACATCTAGGAAGGCAATTCTATTTTGGGATGCTTCTTCTTCGCATGTGAATTTGTGATGAGAGCTATCTGCTACCCAAAACTGATAGACAGCAATTCACGTCAATATTTACGTCCCAAATCGTCGTCATGAAAAAAAACAAAAACAAAGACTTTGCATGGGTGGATACAATTCGCAGATATACGGTCTGCCCATCAAGGAAACGGCCACAAGAGATGACCGAATAACTTCCAGTGAGAAAACAACCAATCAAAATACGCTGTTTCTCTGCTAATAATAACGCTAATAATAATGTACATAAAAATCTATAAATATCTGTTGATTTTCTCAATAAACCATCTTTTGCCTAGCCCTTGTCTTCTATCGTTACAATTTAAATAACAGAATGAAATCATTGGTTTGAATCATTGCTCATATTTTCTACGGCCTGCTCTATTGTTATTAACACTAATTCATCCACTATTATATATATATATATAACTGTAGAACTTGATGAAGTGCAGTTATCGAAAACACATATTCTTTGTTTAATAACCATTCTTTTGAAACAAAAATTTTAATAGCATTTCTTGTTTATTTTCTCTTTGACCTGTATCACTTCTTCTTTTATGAAGAAAATCAAAGACAAATTCAGCTAGCGAAGAAAATTTTCTTTTTCGACGAAATCATCTTCACAGTCTGTACCGTAGAGTCGTATTTATACTTACAAAAATAATGTGGTCTATTATTGAGTAATAGGAGGGGACATAAGTGATATAATTACTCGGAAGTAGCTTTAAAAGTAAAAATTTAAAGTTGTTAACACATGGTACTCAACTGCACAAAGATAGAAGTTTGATAAGGTTAAAATTGCTCTTGAGTGAGAATAAAGGTGGTACTTGAGTGTCATTTAACAAGTGTGCAGAGGGTGCAAAAATATACAAAAGGAGCATATGAGATTGATAATAGTGAGTTAATTATTGAAGTAAAAGCATACTAAAAGTAAAATTAAAAAGAAAAGTCAAAATTTTTTTTTACAGGGAACGACTAGTGAAGAGGTTAAGACCAAGGTAGAATAAGAGACTGGACAAACTTTTTCCGTATACAGAGTTCGGGGTTGTATTGATGAATTGCCAGCCCCTCTGCCATACACAAATGCGGAAACCTAACACCTTTTGTATCAACTGGTCTCACCTTGTAGATGATCTTGAAAGATGACTCTGGTGGAGCTACGTGGCCTGAGTTCACCAAATGCTCGAGAATTGAGCTAGTAATTGTCTTGCATTCTCTCTTCGCTAACCATGCCGGATAATGTTTAGAGATGCGTTTGGAAAGTGTGCACTTTGTGCGGATAGCCAATTTAACTAGCTCCACACGAGCAGGTGAATTTATAAACACACATTGAGGTCGCCCAAAGCGGCAGTTTGTCCTTCACACATCCATTGATCATTTATCGGCTGTAGAAATGCCTTTATTCTCCCTCAATAGCAATCTTCACCTTATCAAATTTCTATCTTTGTGCCGTTGAGTACCACGTAATTTACAACTTTCCACTTTCACTTCTAAAGCCACTTATGAGTAATTTTATCAATTATATCATTCCCCCGCCTATTACTCAATAATAATAATTATTATTATTGTATCCTTTAGTTCCTAGAGGAACATAGGGCTTCAGCTGCGCACCTCCACTGCCTTCGGTTTTCTGACAACTTTTTCACCCCGCTCCAAGTCTGCCCACATGCTTTCATCTCCTCCTCGCATGACCTCCTCCAAGTCACCCTTGCACTGACGACCAACTCGCCGCCTCCCTTTCGGGTTCCACTCGAGCAATGGCTTGTCTAGTGATGTCACTTGATGGTTTCCTCAGTGTATGGCCAATCCATCTGCATTTCTTCCTGCCTCAATAATAGACCACTTTATATTTTTTGGTAAGTATAAATACGACTGCACGGTACAGATTGTGAAGATGATTTCGTCGAAAAAAGAAAAGAATTTTCTTCGCTAGCTGAATTTGTCTCCATTTTTCTCATGACACAGTGGGTATTTTCGGTGATTCTTCTTTTATTTTGCTTTTACAGATATAAGAGTATTATTCATTCCTAGTAGTGGTGAATTATTAGTAATGAATCAAAGCAGATTATTTGTCTACTCTCCGGGAGACAAAGTGCTAAGGCTTATTCAAAAGGTGTATTAAATATTACACCGATAAATGCAACTAATAATAACAATTATACAAGGCTAATTTCTATTATTAATACAATGTTACATCCATTGATTTCACCACCTATAAATCATACAGTCTATCCTAAAACTGGTCGAGTGCCTGTGGAATGTAAATTTAAGCATTATAATGGAAAGCAATTTAAAAAATTATTGAATGTTACAATTCGTATGAGTAAGTTGTTTTATTATTTTATTTATTTGCAATCCATCTGTCTCCCATTTTTAATTCAGGATTTCGTCATGAGACGAAATCGTGAAAAACTCGCTAATTCTTCATCGTAGTTTGCGACTCTTCATCAGTATGCACCCACCCCACTGTCAGGATTCAAACGCAAGACCTTCCAGTGACAATGCGAACAAGTTAGCTGACCATTAAGCCATTCAGATCCGATCCAACAACCAGTCCATGAATTCTGACTACTGTCAGTTGACGATATAGCACGACTGGCAGTAGCCAACGCCATCGCTGGCTAGGTTAGAATTCATGGAGCGACTGTTAGATCGGAGCCCAGTAGTTTAGTGGTCTACGACCTAGCTCGACTAGTAAACAAAGGTCTTGAGTACAAATTCCAAAGAGGCGGATGCGCAGTGATGAAGAGCCTCATATTAGGACGAAACAACCGTCCTCCAACTTATGTCAGCACGTGATCAATCATGTAACCATTGAAACGCCTCTGTAATCTACGCAGAAAGATGGATGTTATTTTAATAAATCATACTGTAGGTAGCACAGAGTTAGAGTGCTCGCTGACCACGCAGGTGACCCGGGGTTCAGTCCCCGGCCGACGCACTCCTTTACCTCGCCAAACCAGTAGTAAGACTGGTAAAGAGGGAAGATTAGGGCATGAGGCTAGCAACCACATGCTGTAAAGATGATCACCACTGCTTCTGAAACTTAAAGCCTCTAGCTTGAATCCCTTTATGTTCCATTGCGAACATAAAGGGATTTTTAAAAATGTCACTCAATGGTCTATCTAGATTCTTCGATCCACCTCTATTTTCAGACTATCTGACTTTCAGTATGGAGCTGGCCATGGCATCTATCGATGAAAGTTTCAGTTTTTTTCCTTCACGTTCGCAGTAGAACATAGGGCTTTAAGCTAGTGGCTTGAAGTTTCTGTAGCAGTGTTTATTTTACAAGATGGGGTTGCTAGCTTCATGCCCAACCTTTCCTCTTTACCAGTCTAATTACTGGTCTAGCGAGGTAAAGGAGTTCGTCGGCCGGAGATTGAACCCCGGACCATGTGCATAGTTGGTGAGCGTTTTAACCGCTGTGCCCCTGACGCACCAAAGTTTCAATAGCCTGCTGGAAGTGCTTCTCGTAACACCCAAAATCTTTGAACCGAGTAGAAGCACTGACAGACGGACTGACTGACTGACTGACTTGATATAAGTGTTTAGGGATGCAAATCTTATTCTTTATGCTTACTGCAGTAAATTTCCATGCTGATTTCAGGTTTTATGAAGGTCTGTCACGTCTATCAAAGCCGCCTATAGTTGACATGATACATAATTGGAAGAGGTGAAACTTCCCATAGATTTCACCTGATTGGTTGTTGTTATTGGTTAAGTATTAAACTTGTGCTGCTTCGAAGCGATAAAGATCTTTTTACTTTAATTCTCTTTTATTCAATTGAACACAATTATTTCTGTGTTTCCTGTTTTACTATGATATTTCATTTTATGAAAGTAACTAGAGAGAAGAAAAAGGAAGACAAAGTGGAACAGACGAATGAAACAAAAGTAACCACATGTAAGTACACAATGAAGAGTTTTAATGACATAAAACAATTATACTATGCATTCTTGTTACCTCATTTAATGACACAATCATCAGTAATAATAACAATATGTAATTATTTAGTCATTTATGAACTTAGTTTTTTTCTCTAATACTTATAAATTTCAACAGTTTCCTTGTAGGGATATGATTTGTTTTCTATAGTTTGGTTTATAAGGGTCGTGACCAGTGAGGTCCAATTAGATGTCACGTGTGTGGATGGATGTCCCACCAACGACAATGGTTGGCGTCGCGCTAAATCACGAATTGGTGGAAGTTAGAATTCATGAGCCATTGAATCGTGTCCCAGTGGCTGAATGGTATACGAGCTTGCCTTGTAACCGGAGGGTCCTGGGTTCGAATCCCAGTGGGTGCGTACCGCCGATGATTCCCAAACTAGGATGAAACAGCAGCTGTCCAGTACTCCAGTGCTGGTTTTCAATGGTTCTCTAACTGATATCAATCCGTGATCAACTCTTAAAAATATGATTTGTTTCAAGGTTGACCACAGGTAGGTATGAGTTAGAGAAATATTGAAAACAAGCACTCGGATAGTGAACAGCTGTTCAAACAACCTAGTCTGGGACTCATCGGCAGTACGTGTCCACCGCACTATCAGGGTTTAAACCAAGGACCTTTCAGTTGAGATATGTGCCCATGGAATATCCAACAACTGGGATCTGACTCCTCAATGGCTGCCATCCCATGAATTTTAACTTTTACTAGTTCATGATGTTAGCGTAATTGGCATTAATCAGTTGCGTGGCTGATGACTTTTTATCATCACTCTCGACTTCGCACTAGCACTCCAGGAAATTTCATCCTGTAACCAGTCACCAAGAAGCATCAGATTGATTCTCAAGGAGTCACGAACGGTCGAGTCCATCCAGTCAGGAGTGGGGGCAATCACTCGCCAATAATGAAATTGGCTGGTAGTGTGGTGAGAGCTGGCTGTTAGCCGAAATTGGTGGACAGCAATTTACGTTAGTGTTTATGTCCCCAGTATTGGTCATGTGAAAAATGAAAAAAATGGCTTCGCGTAGGCGGATACATCTAACATATAGATGATCTGACATTCAAGAAACAGCCCCAAGAGATGCAAGGTTTACTTTCTGTGAGAAACAACCAATCAGGGGACTGTGTTTTTCTGCTAACAATAATCTATAATATGTACATGAAAATCTATAAATATGTGTTGATTTCCTTAATAAACGATCTGTTTCCTGGCCCTTGTCTTCTGTTACTACAGTGGTAGTCGCATTAAAATCACAAATTAGTAGAATCTGGAATTCATACGCTGGCGGCCATCGGACCGGGTCCCAGTGGTTTTGTTGTGATGGCTGTCTGCTAGCCAAAATTGTAGACGATAATTTACGTCAATGTTTACTTCTCGAATCGGCGTCATTAGAAGAGACAATAACAAAGTTTAACCTTGAGGAACTCACCAACCAATCACATCAGGCTTAACGTGCGCGAACACGGTTCGCAGATATATAGCCTGACTTCCTAAAAAATGGCCACGCAGAGATGACAGAATAACGCCCAGCCAGAAAACAACCAACCAGAAGACTTTGCTTCTCTTCTAACAATAACGAATAATACTGTACATAAAAATCTATAAACATCTGTTGACTTTCTCAGTAAACGATCTGTTGCCTGGCCATTCATTGTCTTCTGTCGTTGAGGCTTAATAGTCATTTCCGTCCGCATTATTAGTACGTTTGAAACTATGAGTACTTGGTTCGAGCCCTAGTTGGGTGGGAGGAACACCATCGCTCACTAGGGATTGCTGGTACATCCAACTAATAAGGCCAGTCCTGGATTCCACCGCTACTAGTTCTCATCCCTCACTTTACCTCAAGTGTGTATAAATACAAAGTATTAAAACTCTTTCAGATAGGTTTGACTAACATAACTTCATTGAACAAAAAGTAACAAGTGAGTAATTCCTCGAACCATCTTTTTTTCTATTTTCTTTTTTCTTTTTTGTTCTTCTCAGTTACAGTCGATAAATCTCATTCCAACCAATGGTTATTTCTACTCATGATTCTCTGGCTGATCACTTTAGCCTTAAGCATGTGGATTATCTACGAGTTATTTATTGCTTTCTATCATTTAAATTATCATTACACTGGTTGTCAGTATTTAATCGATCAATTAAGATCTGGATCTCTTAAACCATGGTTACCTGGTAATGAAATACCTTTCAATTCATCAAATATAACTACTGTAAGTGTATTCTGATGAATGATCAAGTTAAAGTGTATCGATCCACAAGAGGGAATCCACTAGTGACCTTGAACGCACACTATTCATTGGATAAAAATATCTACCAATAATAAAGCGCCATTGTGATTTTTTTTTCTTTAATTCGTTTGCACTCCGAGTGGAACATAAGGCTTCAGGCTTCAGCTGTAAAGTTTCGGTGGCAGTGATTTCAGTTTTTTCTAGCTTCACACCCAACAATACCTCGTTACTTGGCTTAGTATCGGCCTAGTGAAGTTTTGAAGTGTGTCCGACGGGAATCGAACCACGGACTGCATGAGGGCTTGGCGAGCGTTCTACCGCTGAACCAAGGATGCAAATCATTATGAATAGTTAGTGAGTTGTAATCAGGATGCAGGTAGAAATGAGTTCTCTAATAGATAACTGGCGAAGATTACTCTAAGCGCTGCTGCGAAGAATCTTCTTTTAAAATATGTCAAAATTATTCTCCTAAATATATATTAGGTTAGGTCTTTCTTGAAATCAAGGTTCATGTGGATCTTTTCTTGGTGCTAAAGATGTCTGATTTTTCTTCACCCTCGGTTTAATGTTCTTATCCATAAACCCCAGTGGTTAGCTATTTTGGATGACTTCTTTCAGAAGATCTAATTCTTCTTCTAGAACGTCATAGTTTCACCTACTTTTGACTGCAAAAGCTTGAAGTTAGGAATGACAAGAAAAACAAACAATGAACTATTAACCAACAATATCTAAAGTATATAGTGTGGCATATTTTACTGATTAGCTTTATCAGTAGTATATAGACGCAAACTGATAAGAAATAGCCAAAATTGAAAATAAAGCACACATTTTCAGTTGATGACTGCTACAGATGTAGAAGTGAGTTACACTTCCCCAAATCTGGATTTAGACTACTTTGTGGTCAGGAAATAATCTCACTTGACAAGTGTTCTTATCAAGGCCGAACATTTAGAGAATCAACAACCAATCAGAAGAGTTTATTATCTGCTGACCACCCAGCCGACCTTAAATGTGGCTAAAAATGTATCAGTATGGTATGTTTCATCCCTGATAAAAATGTTCGTTACCAAGTCTGCTGTCTTTTCCCATTACAATAGTTGAACATTCGAACAGATATTCCGAAGTCTTAACCAAACGTTAGTTTCACTAATTTTACAGCATAAGTTTTTTCAATCCTTTACGTTCCCAGTGGAACAGAGGGCTTCAAGCTAGAGAGGCTCGAAGTTTCAGTAGTAGTGGGGTTTATTTTTACGGGATGAAGTTGCTAGCCTCATGCTCAAGCTTCCCTTTTACTAGTCTTATTACTGGCTCAGCGAGGACCACATGCGTGGTCGGGGAGCATCCTACCACTGTGCCACCGACGCACACTGCATAGGTACATGTAAAAATATATAAATAGATTCTACTTTTAACTTTATTGATCGGTTATTTGTTTGTTTTTCATTATGTCATAAAAGCCAAGAATATTTCATCTGCTTACATTAGAACGTGGTTCAACTTCAGAGAATGTTTTCAAGACACTAGGTAATACTATAAAAGTTTTTGGAGAATTTACATCAATTGCAAACCATTGGAGGCAATTATGGTTGAATGATGTAAGTCTGTTAAGCAAATATTGATTTATGCGACTTTACTATGTAAGTTAATTAATGTAATGTTGATATGACTATGAGAATAATTTCTATTCGAAGAATTAATGTTTCATTGTGTGTGTGTGTGTAATGTATCAAATTATTACTATTATTCAAGTGTTGGTTTGTAGGGATTTGATTGGTTTCAGGATTTCATCATGAGCTGACATTAGTTAGAGAACCATTGGAAAACCTGGGAGTACTGGACAGCTGTTTCGTCCTAGTTTGGGACTCTTCAGCAGTACGCACCCACCGGGATTCGAACCCAGGACCTTCCGGTGGGTGCGTACTGCTGAAGAGTCCCAAACTAGGACGAAACAGCTGTCCAGTACTCCCAGGTTTTCCAATGGTTCTCTAACTAATGTCAGCTCATGATGAAATCCTATTACTATTATTATTATTCCCTTGGGTTCCAAGTGGAACATAGGGCTTCAACAACACATCTCCACTTTTTTCTATTTTCTGCCGTCCTCTTCAGCTGGCTTGATACACGATCGATCAAACTCTGCCATCTCTTCCTCACACGATCTCCTTCAAGTCACACACCCCCTGACGATCCACTCATCACTCCCCAACGGGATTCCACTCAAGGGCCTGGCGTGAGATGTCATTCGGCGGCCTCCTCAGTGTATACCCAACCCATCTCCACTTTATCCGACATATTTGTTGAGCGATCGGTTCTTGGTTAGTTTGTTCATTGCCATAGTTTCTTCTTACTTATTCTTTCTGACCATTTATTCTTCAGTATGGATCCATCGAAGGAGGCAGGTGTTGGTAAAAGTCTGCAGAGTCCCCTGCTGAAAATCCTTTTCTTAATAAGCAGTTCAGGTTTGCGACCCGTATAGATGAACAGACTTCCTATTGATATTGAAAATGCGGATCTTCTTCCTTACGCTGAGTGAGTGTAGAAAATTTCCAAACTGATTTCAGGTTGATGAAGGCGTATCTTGCCTTTCCGATTCTTACTAGCTTTGATATCTTTATCCGTTCCGTCAGCTGTGGTTGAAACAATGTTTCCTGGCCAAATAAGTGAAGGAGGTGACCTCTGTTAAATCTATCCCTTTGATGGTGATTGGTGCTAGTTGTTGTTACTGAGAGTGGAAGACATGAAAAGACTAGCTGGCTGTCTTTGATCATAGGTGTCTGCGTTCTATTTCCCGTGTAAAGTGGCATAATAAAGTGAGCAACATGGAGGTTAGGCGTAGAGTTCTAGGTAAACAGGGGAAATCAATCGACGAAGTCGTGAAGCTACAAAGACTGAGATGGTTAGGACATGTGTTACGTATGCCAAGTCATCGCCTCCCTCGACGAGCTATGTTAGCGGATATAGGGTCAGGCTGGAAAAAAGCTAGCGGCGGTCAAACAAAAACTTGGCATCAGTCAATGAAATCCACAACAGTTGGTCTAAGCCACGTAGAAAGGTGTAGACTTCCAGGCTGGGGTCCTCGGGACGGTAAAACTCTATGGTTGGAAACAATTGGTGACATGGCTCAAAATCGTTCTCAGTGGCGCAGATGCATCCACTCCCTGTGACTTATGATCTTCAATGAAACTGTTTTGTATTTCTTTATTACTCCTTTGTCTCACACCTCTGCTCACTGTTTCTATTATGCTTTTCTTGTACTTTCTTCTCTTGCTTCGCGTGCTAGACGGAATGTGGCGACTTGAACTTCCGCACATTTGTGCAAAGTTCTATGTCGAAAACAGACAGACAGACTGTTGATTGGTTATCTTCATCACCTCTGTCTTCTCAGTGTTCACCTACAGTCCTGTTTTCGTTGCCTCTTCAACCAGTTTGTTGGTTTTCGCCAACCTCTAGATCTTCGAGTTTGTATGACATTAGACATATATATCATCTGTGAAATCCAGATCTTCTAGAGTCTTCTTATTGGTCATGACGTATCCAATAAATAAATTAATTTCAAGTTATACCGTGGATAGATATATCAGTTAGAGAATCATTGAAAACAAGTACTCAACTGTCTAGTGTCTAGTAGATAAACAATTAATGTCATCTATACAATAATTCATAGGATGTATAGATAGTGGACAGTAGTGTATGATTATAGGGTGAATAGGCTTATATAAAATGGTACATAACATGGTATGAAATTTGACAAGATGAAATTTAACACTGTAAGAAACCAATTTTGGATTTAGAATGACAAGTGGGATAATTTTATTTTTTTTTAAATTTTTATTTTTGATTACAGCTTGATTCCACACTGTATTTTTGGGACAAGTGTGGAATTTTCAGCGTGGATATCGGTAGCCCGAAATTCGCAGGCCGACCAAAGATATCAGGTGTGTGTCAGCGTGGGCTCGAACCCCGGACCATGTGCATGGTCGGAGAGAGTCCTAACCACTGTGCCACCGACGCACAATTCAAAATGAGAAAAGAATAAGGCACACAGATTAACTCACTAAACAGAATAAATCAATCAATATCTATCCCTCCACAGCCATGGCAGAAATAAGGCTTGTGCGTACTTCTTTTGTACACAAAGGTTTGGCTTAAAGTCATGAATCGATAGCCAAGGCCTCCGCTGTCTTTAGAAGTCTGTAACGAAGAAAACGTGGCTAGTTCTCGTATCCGTTTGGCTACGGCCAATGCACTTAGTTCCACAAAAGCAGTTGAGCTGATAGTTGCACATGGAGGCTGCCAGACGTGGAAACGTATCTTTTAAAGATATAAAGAACGACTTACTGTAGGTGAACGTCGTTTGTAATTTTGCAACAAAGGACATCTTACCGACTCATTTAGAAAGACAGATTTTGAGTATATATGAAGCCCCATAACCTTTGAATTTCATTTCCATGAATACGGTTCTTTTTGGAACTCAACCAGCCTACTAACCCTATTATTATACATTTACTTCCCAACATACCGACATCCTAAGAATTATTATATATGACATGGATTATTTTGCCACTTAACACTTGATATTTAACTATGATTTTAATAACAAATATTGCATGGAGGATTTCATCATGAGCTGACATCAGTTAGAGAACCATTGGAAAACCTGTGAGTGCTGGACAGCTGTTTCGTCCTAGTTTGGGGCTCTCCAGCAATACGCGTCCACCGGCGTTCGAACCCAGGACATTCTGGTTACAAAGTGACCTCATAGACTATTGAGCAACTGGGGTCCGATTCAATGGCCCATAAATTCTAACTTCTGCCAATTCACAACATACGGTGTACTGCTGAAGAGTCCCAAACTAGGACGAAATAGCTATCCAGTACTCCCATGTTTTCCAATGGTTCTCTAACACTGATGTCAGCTCATGATGAAATCCTCCAACCAATCAAATAAAATCCCTACAAAAACCAATACTTGAAAAAATAAATACTTTAATTGCATTTCAGACTACTCTCATTATTATTATTATTATTTTATGTATTCCTACCTTTGTTTAAAACTCCTTACGGAATATAATTTCTTAAAAACCATTTGTATATGATTTTACCAGCTTGATAATAAGTTCATTGAAAACATTCTATTCTCTGAAATTATATTTCAACACTAAACATGTTTGCTTGTGTTTCAGGATCGTGATAAGCTCATTGAATCATCTGAAATGTTAGTCAGTTTTATAAAGAATTCAACAAAATATATGCCAGGTGAATTAAACTGTTTGTTTTTTTGCATTTTTTTTCTTGTTGTTAAATATTACACTGATGATGTAGAGTGCAAAAGCCACACACACACACAGGTAATTCAAGATATGTCATATCACTTGTACAGACTTGGCTCATTGGCTTCAGCAATCTATTTTCAGCCTATAGATATCGATTTTGAACCCGGCTTCATCTACTGTACCCTGGAAAGCGGTGTAGTATTATCTGCAGATATGCATAGGTGTGTACTTTGATTAGACTTCATAGAGTGACTAATACCACATGTCTAGTCAGCAGGAAGCGTTCGTTGTCGACTGCTTCCAACTCCTGGCCTCTATAAGATGGAAAACATTCTGACAGCTGAATTCAACTCAAACATCAAATCACTTGTTAAGATTTACTGGCTGTTTGCTTAATGAAATTGACTGAAACACCATAATTAGCCTTTAGTTTATCAGTAGTATGTTCAGAACTGTTTGTTATAGAGGAATTATGCAAAGGAAGCACATAACGTATCTGAGAAACCTTTTTGATGATCACATTCATCCAATTTATATAACTCTTAATAATCATGTTTCCATATGTCAAGTAATCCACAAATGAAGAATCCATAAAGCCTTTGAAGTAAAGACAGGAGTAAGATAAAGCTGACTGCCCAATATCACCAATGATATTCCTGAGTAAGAGTGTGCGCCGGCTAGAGATTGAACCTTGGACCAGATGCATGGTCGGCCAGCCCCCAAATGTTGAACCAAAAGATGATAACACAAGTATACATATATCAATAATGCCTTCTTCCAACAGGACATATAAATCAGTTTATAAAATAGTTCCCACCTCGGTGGGAACATCATCACTCACTGAGAAATGCAGGTACATCCAGCTGACGAGTCCCAATTAGGACGAAATGCGCATCCTGGATTCCACTGCTAGCCACCATCCACCAATTGTATACAAATCAAATCCCCAGACATCGTCGAAGCATCTGCACAAGAAGCCGACATGTCAACCTGAGACCGAGCACTTCGGTCCAATCAATCGACGGGAAAATCAAGAATTCAATTCAATAGTTATCTAAATTGATAGAATTAAATGAAATTGGTTCCTAGATTTCTTCATGAGCTGAATCATTTGAATACCTGGGAGTAATGGACAGTCATTTCGCCCCAGTTTAGGACTCTTCACAGTACGTACCCAATAGGGTTCAAACCCGGGATCTTCTAGTGGGTATGTATTGTTGAAGAGTTCCAAATTAAGATGAAAGAGCTGTCCAATCAAATCCCTACAAACCAATAGTTGAATGGAATTGGTCATATGATAACTAAATTCATAATTCATTGAACTGCTTTCTCTGTAATTTTTAATAGAGTGTGGAGCATTATACGCCTAAGATTTCAATCCGCTGATTACATTTCTACTAGAGTAATCCTAATAAGAAATGGATATAAAGAAATTGTCAAGTAATATCATAGTATTCAAAAATTACTTTGCAGGCATTTGATTTTGGTTCAAGTTTAACCACAAAAACTGATGTCATTTAGAGGACTATTGCACTCGAGTACCCGTCAGCTGTTTTATTAGCCTAGTTTGAAACTCGTCACTAGTACTCATCCACCCCAATGCTAGGATTCGAACCCAGGATCTTTCAATTGCAAGGGAAGCTCGTAAACCGTTCAGCCACTGTGACGACTGGACTCCTCTCAATGGACAGCCTATGAATTCTAACTTCTACTTTAGCGCGACTGGCACCAGCCAATTGTCCCTGTAGACTATTTCTCGAAAATTAATCTGATACTTAATAATAACTGCTGCCTACAGGACGAAGTTTCCCAGAATTCTACCGATAAGTCATGATCAGTGGGTCCATGTGAGCGGGAGTGTGAGGATAGATACTCGCCAGCGTTGATATTATTTGGTACCAAAAATTGTAAGTGAAATTCTCTAGATTGTTCATAAGTCAAGAAACTTTAAGGTCTTCTTTAATGAAAGGTGATTTTACTAACAAGAAAATATTTCCACAATCAAATTTGACTAGATGATATTACAATAAACGGTTTGCCAATCTTCTTATATATATATATTTTGTTCTAAAACAAATCTAGTGTCAATAAGACGGAATGAGGATATTTCCTCCGGACATGGTGACAGTAAAGGTCATAAGGTAAGTTGACATTTATCTGCAAAGAATATAGATGTTTCATAAATATTATTAATCATATTTACACAATAAAAGCCTGTTCATGTGTCATTATTATTATTTATTATTCCCCTTCAGTTCCTAGAGGAACATAGGGCTTCAGTCTCACATCTCCACAGAGTTCGGTTCTTCGACAACGTTCCCACCTGACTCCACGTCTGCCCACATACCTTCATCTTCTCTCCACATCACCTCCTCAACGTCACTCTTGCACTGACCACCAACTCTCCACTTCCCAGTTGGGTTCCTGCTGGGTTGGTTCGCTCCCAGAGATACCTGTTGCTGATCTTTTCTAGCCGGCCATCTGATCCTGGGTATTGAGCGAAGACAACTGTAGACGAAGGTCTGTAGTTTGTTCGAAGTGACTTTCACCTCACACGTAGTCTGTGATCCGTATAGCAAGTAGCACTGATTTCGCATTAGGGTTGAAAATCCGGATCTTATTTTCATTTCCATCCTGAGTGCTGTTGACTCCACACAGACTTGAGAGTAATGACAGCTTGTCTTGCTTTCCCCACCCTCGCTTTGATATCCTCGTCAGTTCCTTCCGCCCGTAGTTGAAACGATGCTTCCAGGTAGGTGATTAGGTGAAGGAGGTTGCTTCTTTCAGATTTCTCTCGCTTATGCTGACTGTTGTGTGTTGTTGTTGTTGTGGTTGTTGCTGTTGCCGTTGGCTAGGAATTTTCATCACCTCCTTTTTCTTTATGTTCACGAGAAGTTCTACCTTTGATGCTTCTTTTGCCAACGTGTTGCTTCTCACTTGCATATCTTCGATTTGTGTGAAATCAGATACATATTGTCGGCGAAATCCAGATCCTGCAGCATATTATTATTAATCATATCACAGCATACTTAGAATTGTTTCTAAGCGTTCGGATGATTTTTGGCAGAATACCCGATTCTAGGTTTCGTGCTAATTGGCGCTTACCAGTTAGGAAATCGTATCTCGGACCTTGCAATAACTCATTTCCCTCCTGAGATTCAAACCCAGGTCATCCATTTCTAAGGTCAAAGACTTCACCACACTGAGATGTTCCAGCTCGCCAACGACTTTCTGTAGGAAGGACTATGATAGATACTTAGATTGGATTGAACATGAAATTGTAACTATTATTAAGTGTCTAGTTCTTTGTTCAATCTCGTGTGAATTCTAACGACAGCATTGGGTGAACTGAGTTCAAATCTCAAGAAAACAATGAGATCCTTCAAGATTCTAAATACGGCTAGCTGACTAGTGTGTGCCAACAAGTACAAAACCTGGGTGGAAGGCTTTTGCCTGATCCCCTGCAACTACGTAAGAGTATATACATATATAATCCATGGCAAGGATAGTATCAAATTTATTCGACACAAGTTCTATCCACCATCTGAACTAAAATCTGTAGGCAGTTGGCGTAACTGGAACTCCATTTGTTGGGAAAAGTCTGTGTTACAATATATATCAAGTGTTAGTTCTCAGGGATTTTATTGGTTACAGGATTTAATCATGAGCTAGCATCAGCTAGGGAACCATTGGAAAACCTGGTGGAAAAGTCAGACAGCTGTTTCGTCCCACTTTGGGAGTCTTCATCGGTACGCAACCATCCCACCGCCAAGATTCTAAACCACTACCTTCTACTTACAAGCGCAGCTAACTTGCAGACCTAACTCTTCAGCGGCCAGCCCATGAATTTCTACTTCTGCAAGTTCACGATATAATGTGACTACTAGCCAGTGTCATCGGCCTATTTCACCTCATGATGAAATCCTGTAACCAATCAAATCCCTGCAAACCACCACCTGAATATCAGTCTGATGCTCACTAGCAGCAACTGGCCGTATTCAGGTAAGTAGTTACTAGGCTGTAGTGGGAAGCAGCCACCAATGAGGCACAGCAGGTCGGGTGTGAGGATAAGTACTCGCCCGCGATTACATTGGCTAGTGCTAGTCGCCTTACATCGTGAACTAGCTGAAGTTGGAATTCATGGAATAGCCATTGAGGAATCGAGTCCCACTGGCTGGCTAGAAATAAATAACAACAAGAAACCCTGAGAAGTAATCAACCAACAACTGATTGCCCAGCAAATGTGCAGAAGAAAATATAGGTGGATTGCACATACTCTGAGGAGACCGTTGGTTGACGCGCCTTCAGTGGAGGCCATAGGTCAAGCGGAATCCGAATGGGAAACGACAAGTTAGTCATGGGTCCCATGGTGACATGGAGGAGGTCGTTTGGGAGGAGATGAGAGATTATGGGCAATTTCGGGCACAGCGAAAAAGGAGAAAGCGGGGACTTTCTGTTGAAGCTCTATGTTTCACTGGAAACCCAAGGGAGCAATAAAAGTAGTAATAATTATAATAACTTTCAGAAAATATCTCTAGGATGACTTGTGACCTGGCCTATTTCATTGACGAACAACGAGATTATCATATAACATGGAGGATTTAATCATGAGCTGACATCAGTTAGAAAACCATTAGAAAACCTGGGAGTATTGGACAGCTGTTTCGTCCTAGTTTGGACTCCTCAGCAGTACGCAACCACCGGGGTTCGAGTCCAGGACCTTCTGGTTACAAGGCGAGCTCGTGGACCATTGAGATACTGGGCCACTGATGAGGAGTCCCAAACTAGGACGAAAGAGCTGTCCAGTACTTCCAGGTTTTCCGATGGTTTTCAAACCAATGTCAGCTCATGATGAAATCCTGAAACCAATCAAATCCCTACAAACCAACACTTGAATAAAAGAGTTATCAGAAATCGATTGCTTTCTATTCACTAATTCATACTAATCCTTTTTGCTTTTTTTTATCATTCACTTAGGTGAAGAAATCACGCAAAAAGAAACATCGGAAACATAAAGAAACAAGGAAACATAAAGAAATAAGCTAATATCCCCTATCAAAATGTGGATTCCCCATGAATCAATATATCTACAGTATATTCATCTATAGTCTTTCACAAGATAATATTGTCTTCTTTTATTGTTACTTTAGTGTCTGTTTTTGTTGTCATTGGTATTGCTCTTGTTGTTGTTCTTGTCAGGATGACTAAGCATAATAATCTGCTAAGATATATTGTATACAGAATAGGAGATATATATGTAATGTTATGTAAATAAAGTTCTACTTAGTGTATGAATATTCTTTGAACTAATGCACGATAGACGGACTGTCTATCCCTAAATAAGGTCCTGTCAGGATAAAAGAAGGAGAAATAACTGCCAGTTTATGAAGATGGCACTGTCCATCGGATAAAAAACAACCTAAATTTCTACGAATAAAGAAGAAACACTGGCACGCAGAATAATCTGGATCCATTTTATTTCGTCGGTTCTCATCATCATCTGCGTACAACCTGAATTCTTTTAATAAAATAAAAATAAGAAGTGTACAATTTTAACAAACCTTTGTCCATTAGCAAGCATATTGTCAGAGCGTAATAGTAAAATAAGGCGTTGAGATTTACAGGGTGTCTAAAGTGTTACGGCAAACATATATATATCTTGTTAGAGAGACGTTTCTTTGAAAAAAAATTGATTAACAGTCGTATTGTTGGGGTGGTAACAAAAGAAAATTAGTAATAGTTACGTCATTAGATAAAAGAAGATAAACATTTTAAAACTTCGGCGCACATGAGGTCAGATGAGAAGCTGATGATGTAATACAGTGAGAAGAACTCGGAAGATCAAGAAAAATTAACTCTTATCAGAGTCAAGCGAAACATAAAAGCGGGGGGGTGCGTGGAGTGAAAAGATAAATAAACAAAATTAGTAAACAAAGAGTTACTAAGAAGGGAGTCACCAGAGTAATTGAAGTCCAACAACGGATACAATCCTTTTAATGCTATCACTTCAGAAAACCTGAGAAGACTTGAGGTAATTTGTCTGTTAATTATTTTGAATGATTCCAGCACATCTACTCGGTGTCCTGTGTCAGGTGTTTGGCGATTTAATGTAGCTGCTCCCAAAGATATATGTGAATTGGTATACACAGTTGGAGGTAATATGTGAGGGATACTTGTCAGTCTTTGACTGCAGCAGTGAGGAGGTTGTTTGGGATAGAGAGACTAATAATACTGCAGGATACGTCCTAGACAGGGCTGCGCTTAATCTTTTATTTACCATTCTCATAATGTCGTCGACCTTCTAGTCGAGTTTGATGAAAATAGGCTTCTTACTGACTGTAGCTGTATCAAGCTTCTTAAGTTCATTCTTGCCATATCTGTTAATGAAACTTTGTGGGTAACCTAAATTGGTTACGGTTAGCTAGCATTGGAATCTATAGAGTCCATTATGCCCTCTTCTAGAATCGTCAGTTTGATTTATCTGCATTTGTAAAAGGCTGAAGACAAGAGGATTTGTCAACGTGAATGAATGTACAGATATTGGTGAAATACATCTACCATAACGTGATTAAAATAGCAGTTTTTGCTCATTTCTTCCGTATTTTGCTCCTCTTGTCTTCTTTTCATGTTTTCTATGGGTTTTTCCCACAAGTATCTTGCATTTCCTCTCTTCGCGATTCCATCCATCCAACCATTCATCTATCTGTGAACTATTCGATAGATATTCTTGTAGATGATAGACATATTTATATCTCTATCTATATACTACTTGCAAATCTTGTCAGTAGCACACGCCATCCACTTGCAGTGAATGGTATTCTCCCCACCCATATTATTCAAATGACTAATTAGTTATCCACTGGGTTCTAGGTTGCTTTTTGGCTATGAGAATCACCTGTTTTGCAATGGTTATCAGCTGTTATTTCATGAATCCGGACGAAAACTTCATCTCTAATGACGATGAATTACTAAGAGGTGATAATAAGGTTTTGTATTTCCCAGTGAATAAAAAACAAAATGATATTGTTTTTACTGACGTTTCGCTATTTCATGCTGCTGCTAACAGCTTTATCAAAGTATTTATTATTATTATTATATCTTTTAATTCCTAGAGGAACATAGGGCTTCAGCTGCCCAAGTCTCCATTGCCTTCGGTTTTCTGCCACCTTTTCACCCCGCTCCAGGTCTGCCCACATGCTTTATTCTCCTCTTCACATGACCTCCTCCAAGTCACCCTTGCACTGACGACAAACTGGCCGCCTCTCTTTCGGGTTCCACTCGAGCGATAGCTTGCTAGTGATGTCACTTGATGGTTTGTTTCCTCGGATTATGGCCTCCAATCCATCTCCATTTCTTCCCACCTATTTGTTTCACAATCGGTTCCTGGTTGGTTGGTTCGCTCATTTCCAAAGATCATTGTTGCTGATCTTTTCTGGCCGGCCATCTGATCTTGAGTAGTATTAAGTGAAGACAACTGTTAATGGAGGTCTGTAGTTTGTTTGAGATGCTCTTTATGACTCGCAGTGCAAGTCTTTGATCCATATAGTAGCACTGACTGACTTCACATTGGAGTTGAAAATCCGGATCTTATTTTTGATGCTGAGTAGTGCTGTTGACCTCCACACAGACTTGAGAGTAATGACAGCTTGTCTTGCTTTCCCCACCCTCGCTTTGATATCCTCGTCAGTTCCGTCCGCCCGTAGTTGAAACGATGCTTCCGAGGTAGGTGAGTAGGTGAAGGAGGTTACTTCTTTCAGATTTCTCCCATTTATGCTGGCTGATTGTTGTTGTTGCTGTTGGCCAGGAATCTTCATCACCTAACTCTGGTTTCTCTATGTTCACCAGAAGTCCTATCTTCTCTGGATGCTTCTTCTATCTCCAACTTGTTGCTTTTCACTTGCATATCTTCCATGTCCTACATATCTTCAGACATGTATCATCGGCGAAGTCCAGATCCTCCAAGTTTTTTGTGTGAGTCCATTTTATGCCTGATTTCTCATTACCTGTTTTCTGTCGCATTATCCCCTACCGACGCACACTTGACACTGGTCGGGGTGGCCGCGCGGTCTAAGGCGCCAGATTCAAGAGTGATCTTCTGGGTGTCCTGGTCCACGATGTGGTCGTGGGTTCGAATTCCACCTCCGACACACGCTTTTGTGCGTCGGTGGTATAGCGGTTAGGATGCTCGTCGACCATGCATATGTTCCGGGGTTCGACCCCCGACCGACGCACTCCTTAACCTCACTGAGCCAGAAATAATGCTGGTTTAGAGGAAAGGTTGGGCATGATGCTAACAACCCCATCCTGTAAAAATTAAACACTGCTACAGAAACTTCAAGCCATTAGCTTGGAGCCCTATGTTCCACTGGGAACGTGAAGGAAAAATTATTATTATTATCCAATCTACTGCAGTCAGGAAGATCATTGGCGATAGTTGACAGCCTTGCCTCACTCCCGTCCTTATCAAATTATTATTAAACCAGAATTTTCAAACTCTCAGAGTTAAGAGGTGAGAAAATAGACTTAGATCAAGTTGAAAGGACATATTGAAGGTCAAAATGACAATGAATATCACTAAACTAAATAACAAAGGTAATAGTACATCTGTTATGGTATCAAAACCAAGTTTACTAACTCCATCATCGTTCTTCAGTATGGGGCCATTTTTCATTGTCAAGTTGGCCAACTGGTGAAGATAAAAACCAAGTGTAGATTGTTGGATTTGATCAGTGTGTAAAATTATAAATCAGCGTGTATTAATATAATGAAATTGCTAATCACTTTCATGTTGATTTCGTCATTTCACGGTTGACCGTGGTGTTGTAACCAGGTTAAATTTTGTTTTATTCCATCATTCATATTCTTCAGACAATTTTATTCCACTTGATATGAATTGCTTCTGATGGTATCACATGTTCTTTGTGATTTCTAAAATTTTTTCTGGATTATTTCAATATCATCAAAGTTCATTCGTGGCATGATTCTATAGCGTGTAGACCACCTATGACTGACAACTTTCCAAGCTTTTCTAGTTCAACCGGATTTCTCGGTGGTCGAACAGATTGGGCTCTACGCTGTTCATTTATTCTGATTTTGATTTCTCCTGACTTTTGTCCGATGTATATCGCATCACATTCCAAGCATTTAATTTTATACACAATAAGAAAAAGAATCCTTAGGGATTTGGTCTTTTATGTGGATAAGGTTGCTTTGCAGATTGTCTGATGTTTTGAAGGAAAAATTCTGATTTCGAGCTTATTGAGTACTCTTCTGATATCTTCTGCTCTGTATGGAATGACAACTGTTGAGGTCCATGTTTTCGGGGTACGCTTTTGACCATACTTAATGTCAGTGTTGATTTTGTTGATGAAGTTCGCCGGGTAGTTGTTTTCCTTGAGAGTCTCAATAATGTTTGATATTTCTTCTTCTTTTCCTTTCTCATTCGTTTGCATCAAAAAGTGTACTCGTCTAAGAAGACTTGTAACAACTGAAACCTTTGCTCTGATGAGGCGTGATGATCCGAAAGAAAGGGGTTTGACAAAACGTTTTTTGAACACATAATTTAGAATTCTGTTCATGTATAGCTAAAGCTTCGGCTAGCTATGCCTAAGTGAAGAAAACGTAAACTTTTGGATTGATTCAATTTTGCAATGTAGATAACTTTGAAAGATGAATCACGTGGGGCTAAATGACCAGACTCTAACAGGTGATCACAAATAGATGATTCCGCAGTTCTTCGTTCGCCTTTGATTAACCAAACCGGATAGTGTTCAGCTACACGTTTTCGGAGATTACGCTTATAACGTCCAATATAATCAGCTCTACAAGAGCAGGTAAATGAGTAAATGCACATAGATGTGAACAAAAGCGGTAATCTATCCTTGACGCATTGTCTAATCATATTTCGGCTGGTAAAAACTAGTTGCAAGTCAGCTGCAGGAAAAGTGCGTTTAATACATTTAGATAAACGATTTTTAATCAATTCCGAAATGGTGTCACCTTTGAATGCAAGACTCATAAACCGTTGTTTTTTCTTTGGCACTGTT